CACCGCGACCACCACGACCACCACCACCACCACCACCACCACCACCAACGCCAACACCAACACCAACACCCCAACACCAACACCAACACCCCAACACCAACACCATCATCCCAACAGCAAAACCCCAACACCAACACCATCATCATCACCATCATCATCGTCATCATCATCATCACCATCATCAACATCATCAGCGCCATCGTCATCATTATCATCATGTTAAGCAGTATCATTCTTCGGGATGACGGTCGCAGGGATATTGTTAGTCCAAAAAAAGCCAGAGGGCTGCCATACAAAGCCAAGTATTTACCTGTCTTTGCCGGGCTCTCGGGATGCTCTGGCTCTTCCAGAATTCCAGAATTCCGATATTACGGACAAGCTTCGTCGGACACCCGATGCACATCTGCATGGCTTCAAGACAAACCCCTAAACCCTAAACCCCTACACCTAAACTCTAACAAATACGGAGAACCGGCAATAGTCGCAATGAGAACGGACCTGGATGCCTTCTGACGGCTATCTACAGAAACAGCCCCAGCTCTGTGAAACCCTTGTAGAACAACGCGACTATGAACAGAACCAAACACTGAAAGCCTATCCACTCCAAAAATCCTACACCCAAACCCCAGACCCGGAACCTGAATCCCCAATCCTACGCCCCAAATCCGCAACCATCAACCCTGAATCCCAAACAGGCCCAGACGCGCTCCTGTCCCTCTCCTGCGCCTTCGTTTGAGCGGACTTGATGTCGCTCCAGCCTTAGATTTCAACACAGCCCTAAAACCTAACAGAAGGCCTCCGAAACCCTGACCCTGACCTGAGAATCCAAGTACCTATACGTTCAGCATACACCCTCCCAAATACTCCTATCCGAACACCTAGCTAATGAGTGTTGGGTTTAGGGCACACCCTCCCAAAAAAAAGCAATAGCCTATCGCTCGCAGTACCTAGTTATTGGGCCATGTGGTCTATTCCTTGTATTGTTCTACTACGTTACGTTACGTTGTGTCGCACAGGGTTGCGTCGGACACGTTATGCTGTGTGTGGTGATGTGTGTATTTATCTATGTACGTATGTATGGTCATACTTGCAAACATCCCGAGCATGGACGCAGGACTTTGGTAATAGAAAGACAAGGAGGACTCCACGTCTCCTCAGCTTGCGGTCTGCCGGGCCCACCCCCCCGAAACGACCATGGCCCAAGGACTCCGAAATCAACCCTGTAAACCCTAAACCCTGTCCCCTAGAACCTAAACCCGACTGCCCCCAAGCCCTAAACTCTAAACGCTAAAGCCCCTATGGAGCCCAACAGAAGCAGCCGAGCCACCAAAAGGCAGATGCACGGAAACCAGGTAGAAATACTCCTTGCGCAGGTTCGGAATAGGGTCGTTTAGGGTTTAGGGTTTAGGGTTAGGGTGTAGGGCTTAGGGCTACGAAAGGGTTCTTACCCAAAGGGTCCAATTATCATGGCAATGGGCTCTTGGTACGGACGCCAACAGTATATGCTATACGGTTTAGGGTTTAGGGTTTAGGGTTTGCTACTTGGACCCTTTGGGTTACAGAAAGGGATGCTCTGGGTTTGTCATTCCCGGAAGACGATCCCACTCTGGGAGGATGAGCTGCTGACCTCCGTTTCTGGCCTCTTGGAGGTGGAGAGCGTCTAAAGAAGAGAAGAGCCATGAAGTGAGTGAGTGAGGTCGGTCTAGGGTTCGAAGTTTACATTTTGTAAAGTGCGCGTTTAGTGTTTGAATTATGGTTCGTCTGGGATGATGCCTAGAGCTGGCTACACCCAAACCTCAAAACCCTGCTTCAAAGCCCGGGAGACCCTGACAACTAGTAACTGGAGTAGACTTACCCCTACCCTGGGCAGGGGACATTCCAATGAGCTTCCAACATGAAGTACGGCGACCTACTGACCAAATCCCCTAACTCTCTCACCATCCCAAAGCACCACTCTCTAAACCCTACACCATGCACCGAAATCCCTACAAACCCTAAACCAAAAGCTCCAAGGCCTGCAAGCAGAAACCCATAAACCCGATAGGCTAAAGCCCTAAGCCCTAAATCCTAAAGCCCTAAACCCTGAACACCCTTAAACCCAAACACCCCTAGCCCCTGAACCCTAAACCCTAGTAAACCCTGAAGGAGCCCTTAAAGAGCTCTAAAACCTTCTAACCTGATGTTGCTTCATCGGACAAGGAAACCTAGGGTCAATGTCAGTGAGCTTGGATTCTTGGCTCTGGCTTTATGGTGAGTCGGGTTTAGGGTTTAGGGGCTTAGGGGTTAGAGGTTTAGGGTTTGCGGGTTTAGGGGTTTAGCGGTTCAGGGATTGTAGAGTTCTTGGGCTTTTTATAGACGGTTTGGCCTACTCGGACGGTTTCTGCTGGCAGCGACAGATGCGATGCGGACTAACGCGTGAGCACTGTGGAGCATACAGCCCAGTCTCCAGGAGCAAGTATCACAGTCTTCCAATGCAAAGACTCTTGGTGTATGTGTAAACCCTGCTGGTCCATGATACTCAAGACAGAACAGCGTGTGTGATCGCCCCAACAGGCATGCTTTCACGCACCTTTTTCTCCCTGCACCTAGGATGCATCGAAGCACCAACGAGGCATCACTCTAAACCAAAGATCTCGTGCTGCTGCAGCCAGTCACGCACGAGTCGTACGTCACAGGCCTGCGCTTAGAAGCAGGCCAAGAAGCTAAGAACGAACACTCCAACCAACCTCGAAACTGAACCCTAGTCCGAACCCCGGTGACTTTGTAGTCCAACAGTGGCCCACCTTTCAATAGTATCGTTACTGCTATTTATCTGATTAGTACTATGATTATTGTTACTGTCATTGTAACTAATACTATTCTTATTCTTATCGATTATCTGCTATAATTATTACTGCTGTTACTGCTAATAATAGGGTTTCTTATTGATACCGTTAGCATCATTACAAGAATTATGCTTCGTGTTCTTATTATGGCCAAACCCGAGGAAGCCCTGGATCCCATGCCCCGTGTTCAGGCCCTCGCATGAAACAAAACAAACAGCATGCGTTAGGGTTTTGCGTTTTGGGTTTAGGGTTTAGAGTTTAGGGGTTTAGGCTTTAGGGTAGGGCTTAGGATTTTGGGCTTAAGGTTTTAATTAAGGCTGAGGGGTTTGACAGCAGCACCTTCACCTCCTTCACCTTGCTGTACACATCTACACGCACATACACATGCACACAATATCTTCAACATTGTGCTGGGGGTCTCTTGGTAGTAGTAACCATACCACTATTTTGGGATCCAGGTACCCTATTTTCTGAAACTCCCAATATCTACTGCTCTTGTGTCTAAACCGTTATTCATGCGTGCAAAAAGAGCCATTTGGACGCATCATGCATTCATCAGGGATTGCCTTAAATGCCAGTATACGCCTAATTGAAGTAGTAAGGCACGTCGCAGGGTGCACCGAGGAATCGACGCATCTGTGCAGATCTATATCCCAAGGAGACTCTAGGCCTAAACCCTTAGCCCTGGGTTTAGGGTTTAGGGTTTTAGGGTTTAGGGTTTAGGGTTTTAGGGTTTAGGGTTTAGGGTTTCCCGAAATACTAAAACCTCAACCAGGAACCTCAAACCCCAAACTCCCGAATCCTGAACCCGCAACCTTACATAGACGAACCCTGAACTTTTCAGGGGTTGAGGGTTTAGGGTTCTGGGTTTAGGGCCTTAAATCCTAAACCCTGAACAAAACAACTAAGCCTCCAGTGGGAAATGCCTGGGAACTTCGATTTGAACATCTGAGGACTGGAGAAGACTCCTTGGGATGACTTTGAAGCAGGGTTGAATATTGGGGTTTAGGGTTCAGGGTTGAGGGTCAGGTGGTTTGGGCTTCATTTCCTGTACTAAGCGCCTTCTTTGCTGGGATATAGATAGGCTTGTTGAGGGTGGGGGTTTCAGTCTCTCGGTTCAGGGTTTAGGGTTTAGGCTTCAGTGCTTAGGATCGGTCTTTGGTTCGAGGCTACATGGTTGAAGGTTCAGGGTTTAGGGTTTAGGGTTCAGAGTTCAGAATTCCACCCGTGCTCAGAGCTGTAGATTACGATAGAAGGGTCCTGTTTTGTGGCTTGGCTGCTCAGTGTTCTACAGGCCCCGGCGCTGATCTACAAAGAGCAACAAAGAAGTCAGAAGCTGGGAGCTAAGATGCTGACTTAAACTTGACCTTGGGACCCTACTAAACCCCTAAACCCCATAAACCCCAAAATGGTATGCTTGCCCAAGCTCGCAGACGATCTACGGGCCGAGGTTGTAAAACTCAGATACCAGTGGCCGTTCGTCTCCGTGATGCTTGTGCGGACTTTCCAGCTCCACACCAAGGTCTCGTCGGTCTCACGTCGGAAAAGTACCTCTACCCATAGGCTCCTAAGGAGTTCCTTTTTGGGGGTTATATCTAGAATCCTATAAGGTAATCCCAAAAAGGAACTACTAAGGAACCTTTGGGTTCTTCCCTTAACCGTACACCCGTCTTGAAGCTGAGCCTGGGAACATGAGCCCCGGCTACCACTCTTAAAAAGGAACTTTAACATGTATCTTTCGGTTCAATGTATGTATCCAAGGGAAGTACTGGCACCACTGTAGAAGTAGCAGCAACAGCAGAAGCCAAACCCTAAATTCTGGTTCCTACACCCTGCAAGGAAAGCGCAGATTGTACCCGTCACTTCTTTCAACACACGTGGGTTGTATGTACGCTGAACCTCCAACAAAAAACCCACACCGCTACCGCAGAATGCTAGATAGCCTAGCATTAGCATACACCCGCCTAGTAATCTAACCCCGTAAACCCTAAACCCTAAGCCCATTAAACCCTAAAGCCCAGGCCCAGGCACAGGGTCGTGCCCCGAGAAGTACGCCATGGACATGTACTCGGCGCTTTGCAGCTCCACAGCGTTCTCGGGAGATCGATTGTTGGCAAAGAGAACCACCTGGTCAGAGAGCTTTGGGTTTATAGGGCTTAAAGGGATTAAAGCTTCGGGTTTGAAGCTCAGGGTTTAGAGGGATGGGAACTTGAACCGTAGGCGCCTGAACGACTACAAAAAGGTTTTGGGGTGTCTTATAGTCTAACTATGATCGAGAACGCTGGGGAAGAATGTTGCCGGTCTTGGGACGGCGACAATTACAACTGTTCTACACTCGTCCCTGTGCTCTTCCACCCCCGACTCTGCCAGCTAGCCTTGTAGAAAAAGCAGGCTCTGACTAGGATAAACCCATCTAGAAGGCTTCGACGATCCGAGCGGCACTTAGAACCTACATGCTGCGCCCCTTCCCGTGAAGGGAATGTTTGGAGATTTCGATGCTCCAACACTCAAGATGCTTCAGAACTGCAACAACCCCTAAATCTTAAACCCCCAAAATCCCCAAACCCTCCCTTAAATGAGCCCTTGAAGGGGGAGCCCTGAACGAGAGAGTCGAACTCGGGCCCCTATAGAGGGTGCATAAGCCCAAGAAGCCCCAAGGGTCTCTATCATGGTCGAACCTTTAGGGTGCAAGCACCTATGTTATCACAAATATGTATATATATATATATGTGTGTATATGTATATATTTATATACAAATAAATATAAATATAAATATAAATATAAATATAAATATAAATTTAAATTTAAATTTAAATAACTAAATAAATAAACAAATAAATAAATAAACAAATAAATAAATATGTATATATATATATGCTTTTATTCCGAATCCCGGGCTGCTACGCCTGGTATTCCACCCCTCTTACCCCCTCCCCCCAGGGCTGTCCGCGACGACAACAACAACAACAGTCTCATGGATCGAGCCCGTTGGGGTGGTTTGAGAGCATGCGATGGTGACCGCGATGCAAAACTGCCAACCGTCGCTGGGATTGGACCTTTTGGTGTCACGTTTCCCTGACTCTCGCACGTTTCATCACGCAGGGCAACTTCGAATCCCAAGCTTCGCAAGCGTAGCTGGCACGTAGTTTTGATTTGCAAGATTCTTTTTGTTGTTTGTGGGGGCAGGCTGCAGACTCGGTTCGCACCGGAACAAACCACAGGAGGAAGGCGGCGACGGGTGTCGATGCAACGATCTGCGCGGCTCCGCCACACTTCTCGTTTATCTTGCTGCCGCTCCGCATCGTGGAAATTGCTAGGCGGCAAAATACCGGAAGCCATCTTCAATGACCTACATTACTAGTATCCTTCAGCCACGTACCCAGTCATCCGATCCTTTTACGACCCTTCGGGGAAGACCTTGAACCCAAAACCCTAAACCCTAAACCCAAAACCCTAAGGCCCTCGACCCGCAAGCTCGAAGAACCTCGGGCTAGATCTCCTGAGAAGCCCTTCAAAATAAGGGTACCCCCTGGGTTTAGGGTTTAGGGTTTAGGGGACCCCAAAATACAAAGGGTACAAGTTGTACGGTACAAGAGTAGTACTAGAGTACTACCGGGGCCCCCATACTAGGACCCTCCTGTACCCTCAAATACGGGTAAAGGGCCCCAAACAATGGGTACTTGGGGCCTAATAGAGGGTAGATGGAGAGTCCCCAGAGAACCCAATACCCCTTAACTAAGGAATATACCTTTAAATTATAGAGGCCTTAATATTATGAGTTAGGGTATATTCCTTAATTAAGGGGTTTTGGGCTCTCTGGTCTATCGGCAAGCCCTGATTCCCTTTAGGTCGCCTTGTCTCGGCTGGGCAGGTTGGCGAGAGCCGCGGCGGCTTTGCGGCGCATATTCCAGTTTTGTACTGAAGCCAGCATCAGAGCCTGACAGGGAGGGAGCAAACTTGGGGTTAAGAGTTTTGGGGTTTAGGGGTCGGGTTGTGCTACTTCAAGAGGCTTGGGTGTAGGGTTTTGAGCGTGTTTGTTGGCCTGGCGGTTTCGGGTTTGGGGCTTTAGGCATTGCTGTTTGTTCTAAACGGAACCCCACACACAAATTCTTGCGCCAAAATATTGCTGGTCCTTCTGCCATGTTTCGCAGCCCGGGCACTTTCAGTGCTGTAGCGAATCCATCCCTCCCGAAGCCCTCAACTCTAGGCACTTAAAAAATTAGAACAGGGTTTCTTGGGGTATATTGTACTATAACTATATTTAGGAACCTTGAAATAGCACTGGTAATTATTTAAGCCCTTGTCTTGGTGTGGCTTGAAGGACCACGGCACTCAACAAGTCGATCATAGCTGAGAGTATGAAGAGGTATAAGTAGCAGAACTCCATGTCGTGGTTTTAAAACAGGAAGTCATGCTATAGCAGCCAGTATGTGTCCTTTGGGCCTTTCCTGGTTGAAGGTTTGCAGGGTGAAGCCTCACACGATGATCTACAACCGCACCGTCATCATGGGCAGGCTTGTTCAACCTCTAAGAACCCCTAAACCCTACAAACAACAAAAACATACCCTCACCCTCAACCCCAAACCTTGCTTGAAACCCAAACACTCTACCTGTTTAAGGACCTGTGTTGAAAAGTCATAATAAGGAGCCCTAAGCGGGTAGGATTTATAGGGTTCAGGTAATGCCTGGGCTCAGGATCCTCCTTTGGAAAGTCAAGTAGCATAGGCGTACAGCATCGGCATCACGCTCCCAAAGAAGCCCAAACAGCAAAGGAAAAACCTCTGACGTGGCCCGAACAAAAAGCCACAGAGGCCGCAACAAAGCGACATAAGGACGATAGCAATGCAATATCGGTAGCGCTTGCCTCTCTTCTTCAATAGCCGGGTCCCAAAAAGGTTCGAATTTAAAAGCTAGACCAAACATATAATGCCAGAGAAAGTTTGAAAGTTCTCCCATTGGCTCTCTAAGTTGCTCACAGAAAAAGCAACATCTGTCTGCCCGGAAAGGTGCTCCTGCGCACGGGGAACAAAACTTGTAGTTTAAGGCGAACGATGGCTCAGGTTTGGGTTTGGGATTAAAGATGGTTTAGGGTCTAGGACCTAGGACTGTTTACTTAAACTGTGGACCAGTTGGTATGTCAGAAAAAGCTATAATGACAAAACCTTTGCACACACATGTCTAAACGTTCGGCTACATCGAAATTAGATCCTGCAACCTACAATCACATCTGCGTGGGAATCTGCAAGGTTTCGGCACATGTCGCAAGGCTTGTGCAGGCCTTTAGGGTTCAGGGTCTGGGGCTTAGAGTTTAGGGTTCAGGGGTTGGGGCAAAAGGTATAAGGCTCCAGACTCCAAAAACCTTACCGGGCCTTTGCATGTAGACCCCTGACACATATCCCCCTCCCCCTGTCTTTAGCAGTCGGATCCGCACTATTCTAAGTCGTATTCAAAAAGGAGGGGTCATAAATCAGGAGTCTGCAGTAAGCTAACTCCCAATCTTTTGCTAAGCGCTACCATTATCGATGACCTTGACAACCCCAGAACATGTACTAGCACCGACTGTCCCGACACAACGAGCATGTTTCAAGACCTACAAGTGAGTGACGGTATCCTTCGCTTCCCAAAGCGCTTCAAACCGACAGCCGGATGACTCACTTCACGCCAGCTGAAGGGGAGTTCAACATTGCCCCAAAGTTGAGGCCTCGCTGCGACGCAGCCGAAAAACTGCTTAATTTCGCGTCGGTTGGGCCTTCTCGCACCCTAAACCCTAAACCCTAAACCCTATAAACCCTAAACCGTCATACGCGGAATGTCACCACCCCGGACTCCCTCGAGGAAGAACCCCGATTAAGGTTGTTCCCTTCTTGTTAGGTCTGTGGCGAGCTAGTAGAAGCCAGAAATTTAGGGTTTAGGGTTTTAGTTTCTATACGAAGACTTGAATGGATTGAAAAGGATGTTGGAGTAATGTGTTGGTGTCTAGGGGGAACCTTGTTATCCGCTTGCCCTAGCAGCATAGTAGCAGAGGGTTTTAGCACTCGTCAACCTAAACCCAACTTCAAATTTCAAGTTTCGGGGTTCACGATAAGGATTCTGGAGATGTAGGGGTTTGAGGGCTTAGGGCTTCGGGTGTTACCGAATCCTGAAGCATCGGGCGTCCAAAACCCTACAAACATTGTAGCCGTCGGCCCTGAACCATGCCGTCAGGGTTTAGGGTTTCTTAACATCCAAAGCCGTAAATCCCCAAACGCTCCTGCCAGAAGTGGCGCAAACGCTCCTGACCGACCTTTTTGGGACTCTTTGTAAGCCCTAGGGTCTAGTGCGTCTCGAGGGTTACCATGGGACTTAGTAACTAGGGTTATAAGTTATAACTAAAGAGACTACCTTCAGTTGCTTATAACTCCCATTAGGGTACTTAAAACTGTACGTACTAAGTCTCATGATCCTCCAAGTAGGGTTTAGTGCGTCTCAAGGGTTTAGGGCGTCTCGGGGGTTTAGGGAGTCTTGGGGGGTGGGGTTTAGGGTTTAGGGTTTAGGGGTTTAGGGTTTAGGGTTTAGGGGTTTAGGGGTTTAGGAGGGGACTTGGGGGTTTGTGGGCCAAGGTCTAAGGTTCTGGGGCCGCAGTTAATGGAAGGATTTCTGGGGGACTCTTCAACCAAACGGTACTGGCAGTCTCATTCTGTGGGCAGTGTGTCCCCAAACTACTATAAGCCCTAAAAGGCGTAGGGTGTGTTGTGTGGCGTTTAAGACCAAAGAGCTTTTGGGTAGCAACTTGCACAGGGGAGAATCGCATTCTTTTGCGGGCCGGAGGACGGATGTCAATCTAGAACGATGAGGATCGGGATGAATCGAATTATGGGGCATGTGGTGTGTGGTATAGCTGTACAATATGGGAACAGTATAGCTATAATGGGATGCTACTAGTGATTATTCGGGCCTCTGTGTTACTACTGAGGGTCTAGAAGAAGGCCCCCTCGTCTTGAAGTCTATAGGATTTAGTGCCTTAGCAAATAGTACTTCTTTAGAGCTGTGGCCATTGGCTTTAAAGTTCAACTGAAGGTTCGCCTGGTTAGGAGTTCCAAGCACTTCGGGTGGATCCCACGCTCTAAACTCTCCAAACCCGGCCCTAAACCTTACCACCCTCTGCTCCCCAAAACCCTAAACCCTAAACTAGAGGG